AGTTCTCCTCTCATTTTGCACTTCATAAATTCTCCTTCTTAATTTTGTTCTCCCTTCAAACCTCAAACAATATCTTCTATTTGTGGAGTTGCTTGTTCTCTCACCATTATTTCTAAAATATTCGTTGACTTCAAAAAATTCAAAAATCATGGTTTGGATCTTCTAAGTCATGTTCGATCCCATAAATGGAAAAGTTACTTTAGCATGATTGAAGGACCCATCTATCATGTTCTCATTAGATAGTTCTAGACAAACGTGTCCCTCTTGTAACTTAGACAATATGCTTTATGCATAAACTCTAATTTTTAGGAATTTCCATTTCATAACTCCTGCTCTGATTCTAAGGCAATCGTACCCGAGGATTTTGGGGTTCATATTAACAGGCTCCCAAGGACAATTCCATTCATTGAAAGAATTCCATATCTTGCCACCAAGGACAATTTGGAAAATGTATCCTCTCTTTTTCCTAAGGTGAAGATTCGACATCAACTGCTAGTGTCAAACTTTCATCCATGAAAAGATGCGTTAGAAAACTCACTTATGTTGACAATCATCTTATTTTCTTCATCTTGTTAAAGACTAGTGTTAACTTTCCCTTCATAATCTTCAACTTCTTGAGTCATAAGATAATTTCCTCTCACGAGGGAGTATCTTCTCTCATACCTTTTGGAAGAGTCTTGTTTGAAATTTCCTTCAACAAGGTCTTGTTGAGAGTATGCATGAGTTGGGGTTAACAGACGCTTTAGAGACCACCTGGGGTCAGAGGCTGGCTACAACTTAGGACCCTATAGGATTGAATTCTATCCACTATAGTTTCTCCTTTCTCTGGTTTTCTTTTATTGGCGTCTTCTTGTTTTTTTTTAATATTTTTTTGTATTATTTTGTTCATCAATGAAAAAATATTTTTCTTTCAGTTTTGTATTTTATGTTTGCTAGTCTGTTTTTATAATTTTTACTAATGACAAATGGGGGAGAAAATGAATATGATTTAAATATATCTTGTAACGCAAATATAATCCAAACATAGCTAAAATCTGATAATCATATTTTTCTACAATTTATATGTGATTCTAAATCTTAAATTCAGGGAGAGCTTGCAAACCTAACTCTGAAATTTAAAACTAACAATAATGTTTAAGGAAAGACAATATTGTTAGTCTAAAATTCACGGGGAGCTTACAAACATAACTCTAAACTTTAGATGATTGTAAGTGGGAGCTTGCAAACCTCACTCTAAATAATCAAGCTAACAAATTTTTTGAAATCTGAAACTCAAGGATAACTCACAAAACTTACTTTGAATTTTAGTCTGATTATCTGATTTGAGATTTTATTGAAACCAAAACTATTTTGAATCTTAAACTCAGGGGGAGCTTGCAAACCTTACTCTGTAGATTTAAGTTGAAGAAATAATTTTGAAAGTATATAACCCATAGGAAGCTTACAAACCTATCTCAAAAGTTTTATAAATATGATTGCTTATTGAATAAAAATTATTTATCAAAATACATGGATTTGTCATCATAAAAAATAGGAGATTGTTGGAACAAGATTTGTTCTACAACTATCCTTAAATTTTGATGATAATAAAATGTAAGAGAATAATTTTATACTCTAACTATTTTGCTAAGTGTGCAAAAAATTGGAAACAACTCTGACTCTGAAAAATGTCCAGACTCTGAACCAAAGATTATAAACATATGCAAAGAAGTTAGCTCTGATTTATCAACTCAACGTTCCTGAAAAGAAACTATCCAGACATACTCTAATATAAAGCCCTGACTACAAGTGTGTGAAAGTCTCAGAAACCAGTTGTTCAAAGACTCTATTTTTTCACCAAGTTCTGATGACAAGCTCTGGAAATACTACTCAAGCTTCACCAACAAATATTAAAAGCCTCAAAAATAGAAGTTGTTTACGCCAAAACTCAACAAGGATTTGATGTGATTGAAGTACAAAAGCAAATATACTTTTTCCATAAAGTACTATACTCTGTGTCAAAGAAGTCTTCTGTGTCCCATCATCTTCACCATCTATTCGCTACATCGCCACTCTAGTGTTGTATTTGAAGTGATCTTCATACAACAGATACTTGGCGAATATTTTCATCTTCACCTCCAACTTATTTATTTGCATATATATAAAGAGGACTCTAAAGATTGAAGAAAAAATGATTTTTTGATACGTACACTGAATACTAATCAACACTCACACTCAGGAAACATATATAGAAAAATAAAAAGTGTTTCTTAAACTTATACACTTAGAACAGGTTCTTGTTGAATATTCTTGTCAAGTGTAATACTTGATTCTAAACTTGTATATCTGCTTATACGAAGCATCTTGTAAACACAAAACTTGTTATTACAACTTGATTGTAATCCACAAACAACCGAGTTAGGTCATAATTTTGAGAAGTCAATAACAGGTAGTTATTGAGGTTGAAATCTTCTTAAGCGACCGATTATGTGAGGATCTTGAGAAATAAGTGACTGCCAGATTTCTTAAGCGACCAGATAGGTCAGACTATTAAGAAATTAATGACATGTTGTCATTACATTTGTAATTACTGTTGATTATTGGATGAAGTCTATGTCTAAGGAAAAATCACTCAGGTGAGTGGACTGGATGTAGCCTTGTTAATGATGAAGTAGGATAAAATCCTTTTGTACTTTATCATTTTTATTATTGCTTCAAGCTTTTGTATTGGAGTTGTGAAAAACTATCATACTTGAAACCCAATTCAAACTCCCTTTATTGTGTTTCTCGAACTTTGAACTTTCACATTCATGGTCCAAAAACACAAAAGTACATTTCCTATTTGCATCAGCAACTTCAATCATTAATTCGTACCTTATCGAAATTAAATAGTAATTAGATGGATATAAAACACAATATAACTTAGATGGGTATAAAACACAATATAACTGGTAATACCCACCAGAGACATGACACGTGTAGAAGACTGGATCAACCTAGAAATTTTAGCATGGGTGGTATGACCATCAACAAACGTAAAAGAATGAGTTTCTAACTCTTAACAAAAAGATGACTATAAATTAGGTATTATTTAAATACTCCTTTCGGATAACAATTTATTGTTATAATATTATTAAGATGAAATGTGTAATACCTGATCAAGTTGGATTGTCAAATGCTATTGTTATGAATGTGCATTTGACATGACTTTGTTATCCGTAATGGGTTGGAATCCCCCATAAAACTGGGACCATATTTGAGAATGGGAACTCACTTGTTGCCTTTATATTCCTTCAAAATGCTCTTTAGACAACCTATTCAACACAATGTTATTAACCCATATTTACAAGTTTGTAAAAAAATCCAATTTTGTGCATTATTATATATTATAATACTTGGTATGATATTCAATACAATCAGACAAATTTTACTTTATTTAAAACATTGTAACATGACAATTGTTTCTGACATATAATGGATGTTTTCTCTCTCTCTATATATTCAAAAATGAAAAAGATTAGAGATTGTTAAGAAATTAATTGTTATACAGTAAATATTTACATTGTCAATGTATCACAACTATTCATTGCTATTCTTTTCAAGTGGTTAAAATAAAAGTCAAATTTTTTATATAAATCCGCAATTGTGATTAACTGACAATGTAAAAAATCTTTACACTATCGATGTATGTCAATTAAATTTATTTATTAAATGACAACAAAGAAGCATATAAAAGATCATAAAATCATTGATATGCTTTCCTCTTTGATTTTTTTTCGTAACATATAATACAACTAGTGTAGGCTTCAATTTTAGAGGTGTTCCATGGTTCGGTTTTGAATTAAAATGTCATTCGATCTAAAAATAAATTTACTTGCGGTTTGGTTTAGTTTTGGATGATTGATTAAAAAAATTTGATCCGATCCAATCCAATTTCTTACATTTTGATTTGGATCGATTTTTTGAATATGCAAATTACAAATTATAATTTTATTAATATTGTAAAAACACTAATAAATAATAAATTTTGATACAATATATAACATATATCATATCAAAAGTTAATACTACAAAATAATAATGATCAATTGTTATTAAAATAAATAAAATAATAAAAATTAATAGATTAAATAAAACTAATAAATAGCATTTTATATAAAAAGTATCATCTAATAATAAATTAACACAATATATTATACTAATAAAAAATAAATAAGTATAAAAATATATACATGTGGATCGGTTTGGTTTGGATCGATTTTGCAAAATCAATTTGAAATCCGTTTCGAACTGAACGGTTTTTATAGAATGACATCCAGTACATTCAATAATTTTCAATTTTTTTAAATCAATTTACAATTTTTATTTAAATTGGTTTGAATTTGCACAACCCTATTCAATTCTTTCCTTTCTTTGTCGTAATTTAAGAATTTAACAACACGATCCTCTAAAAGAGTGCAATTTAGTGCATTATTTCTACAAAATCAAAATTAAAATGGAAGAGTAATATTAGTAATGTTTTCATGCATTATGAGATATATTTGTCTATGCAATGATAAGAAAGTGTTGTAACAGAAACACAACTAAAAAATATTTAAACAAAATCGTTTAGACCGATGTGGCAGAAGCATACTAAAATGATTAACTTATATACAAATTAATTTAACGATCAAACTATATATTTGATCCAATTTTTTAAGAGTTTGTTGTGTTGTTTACACAAGATTAATTATTTATTATCATCATTGATACTTCTAATAATTTGATTATGAAAAAAATGTTTTATTTGAAATTTTTGTTATACTAACAAAATGTCACCATTGTGACTTTAGACAAAAAGTAGTGATTAGTGAACCCAACTCCCCAAACAAACTAGTCCACGTTAATGGAAACTCGAAACCATGCGATGAGCTCGTCTCTATCAAATCACACCCTGTAAATTCAGAATCAAAGGAACTAAACTGAGAAGAAAGACGAAATAGAATACACACTCTCACTCACTCACTAGGGTTTATTCACCCATGGCGCTAACCTTCTTCTTCCTCTTCTTCGCCTCTCACCTTCTTCTCTCTTGCATCTCTGGTTTGTTTCTACCCATCATCGTACACGTTTGACTTCAATTTCGGATTCACACTCATTTCTCACCTTTTGCGTTTCACAGGACAATCCACCTCTATGGAATCGGTTCCCGATCTTCAGAACACTATGTACACGGACGTTGATGGATTTCCTTGTGTGCGGTTGTTGAGTCTTTCTGGAACCATCGGTTGTTCAAGTGAGTCTCAATTTTCACGATTCATTGTGTTTTTAGGGTTTAATTGAAATTTCAAGTGTTTGCGATTTTAAGCTGGTTGATTCTAATTTCTTAGATCCTGGGCGAGATAAGGTCGTTGCTCCAATTGTGAGGTTTGAAAATGTTGATCATGTGTCAGAGTTGTCTTCTATATTGGTGTCATTCGATGAGTTTCCTGCTCTCTTTACCAGGTAGTATCACATTTCAGCATTTATGTTTAATAAATTGCTAAATACTAAAATATTATTGCATCTTAGTTACATCTAGAGTTATTATAGGAACCTTTATGTTTGTAGTTCAGTTGAAAAGCTATAAATGTAGGGTTGGACCCCAAGTATCTAGAGTTCTTTTAGGATTAAAGATTGGTTTGTACCCAAATGTATGTTTAGTGGCAATGTGAATACAAACATGAATTAGTCCTTGTTTGCGGCATCAATCATGATAGTTGGTGCTGCTTATTCACTTACGATTTGTGATTTTTTTTTAAACTTTCCTGAATGTGATTTTCCCCTTTCAGATTATCAGCTGACCCAAGCTTTGCAAGAAAAGTTGGTGGTGTACTAGTTGAACCAGTTATTGATTCACAAAAGATAAATGGTAGTAGATACTATTGGTTTTTGTTAAACATAGATAAAATATGATACAGTAGTATTTTCTTTTAAACCTGCTCCTGTTATAACATTTTTTTTGGGTCATATGTAGGATTTTCTCCCGATAAAAAGTTTCCGCAAGCTGAGTTTGCTCCTTACCATAATATCAGCTATGAATGGAACCCAATTGTACGACATGGAATTACTTTTTCTTCTAGTTTATGGGGATATTTATATCTCATGTCAACATAATTTATATGTTCTTTTCTTTTTCTTTGTTTGTTTCTGCCAATTACTTTCCAGTTCTGATTCAATTATTTCCAATAGAAGGGACTTAATAATTAATAGATGCTTTCTGGTTTCTATGAAGTTCTTTAATTTTGTGGATGTACATTCTATCATTGTTGGTATTCAATGACAAGGACGTAGGATAGAAATACGATTATCTTTTGGATATAATTCTATATTAGTATTGAGACAATACAATCAAATCAATAACTTAGATTGATTAATTTATTTGTGTTCTCTTTTTGGTTCAACATCTACAGGGTTCTGATATTATGTGGAAATCCTACAATTTTCCTGTGTTTTTACTCACAGGAAGCGGCACAAAGATTCTTCAAGAGGTATTGCATAGTATAAGAGTATTATCATGTTTTTTTTTAATAAACTTGCAACACAAGATACTAGTGATGGACTATTAAATTTTGAGATTGTAGTTAGATATGCAGAGACAAACTTTGAAAACACATTTTGTTTAAGTAGAAAGGGTTGTATGAAATGCAAGTTACGTAGAACGCACACTAGTTCTATCTTAATAGTGAAAATTGGAGATCATAGCATATCACAACTCACAAATCATAAGATTTGTATCTCGGGTGAGGTGGTCATGCAAAATGATGGGGAAATAGAGATAAAAATTTAAAACTATAGGTTCTAAGTGTGATAGATGAAATGAAGGAGTGCTTTACTTGTTATTTGATATAAAAAGTTCCATTCAAGGGTGGTGGGAAAGATAGTTGTTGCTTTACTTTTATATTTTGTTATTGTTAGATATTTTTTATTGGCTAGCCTACACACTATATGCATATTTCTGCAAAAGGAGGTTTGTAACCTAGAGGTTAAAGTTGGAGACTATATCATCCCACAAGTCATGAGTTTAAATATCTTGGGTTTGTAATACAAAACATGGAGAAATAGGTGATGTAAACTATCAAATTCAAGCTAGGTGACTGGAATGGAGGAGGGCCTCAGGGGTTTTATGTGACTCAAAAGTACCGCTCAAGCTAAAGGGAAAATTTTATCGGACAGCGGTAAGATCCACGATGTTGTACGAGACAATGTTGGGTGATTAAGAATCAACACAAGAATAAAGTAAGTGTAGCAAAGATGATGATGTGTTGTATGTGTGGTAAGACTAGACGAGATAAAATTAGAAATGGTGGAAAATAGACTTAGGTGGTTTAGGTATGTAGAGAAAAGACCTGTAGATTATGTTGTAAGGAGAGTAGTTCAGATAGAGATGAGTCAAACAACTAGTGGTAGAGGGACCTAGAAAAACTATAAGAGAGATCTCGAGATTCACGAATTGGATAGAAACATAGTCTTAGATAGAACATTATGACGGAATTTTATCCATGTAGCTGATCCTACTCAGTGAGATAAGGCTCGATTGTTGTTTGTATTTACTTTATAGTGCCCTGATATGAATCATATTGTTTATATGAACATCAGGAATATTTATTCTCTATATTTTGTTTGTACAGTTTGTATTAAAGAGTAAGGACAAAAAGGAAGCTTATACTTCTAATGTGGCTGAGTTTGATCTGGTGATGCAGGTAAGATCCAAATTATTGTTTAGAGTTGTTATTTTCTGGCATATGAAGAAAAATGTTTCATTATTTGCTTGTTTCTTTTTTGATTATCCTGGATTAGACAATGAAATCTGGAACACATGATTCAGAGTCTTGTTTAAAAGAAGGAACTTGCCTCCCCTTAGGTGGATACAGGTGAAGTTTCCTAGATTCTACTCTATAAAATCTGCAAATATTATGGATGTGATATTTTTTTTGGGTGGGAATAAATGTGGGATCAAGGGTGGCTGCCCCCAGCTTAGAGCAGGTCTCCAGGACTATTATTATTATTTTTTTTTATAAATATGATATGTATCTGCGAGATTATGAGATCTAACTGTTGCATGACATTTGTAGCTGTAAATTGCATGTTGCTGCAAAACTAGATACAATTCAATTACAAAAGATAGTGAACATTCATAAAAATTTCAGATTCCTCCCACAAAATTTGAGTATCAAACGTGATCCTTTTGTATATATATAGAATAAATTGCATATATAACAATAAAATACAACCAGCTTCTAGGAATGTGTGTTTATATACCGGGGAAAACACAAGGGCAATTATCCATATGAATGAAGCATCACATGGGTTTGCATAGTAGAAATGGGTTGTCCCGGGTCTAGATTAAGAATATATTAACATCACCCCCTTCTTATTTTGCAGAAAAATTTAAAATCTTAGCATTGTTATGGTTGATGTTAACTCTATGTTTCATATGGAAGACAGTGTTTGGTCGTCGCTTCCCCCAATCAACGTTTCATCCTTAAAACCGCCTAAGTCCATTATATTGACGGTAGCTTCTATGGATTCTGCTTCCTTTTTCCGGGACAAAAGCTTTGGTGCAGATTCCCCAATTTCTGTAAGTGCAACTGCATTTACTATAGTATGTTGAATTTAATTTTTGGGCCAAATTAAGTGTTAATTTATAATGTTTGTTCCAGGATCAGAATATAGTCTTAACACATCAGCTACTTTACAGGGCTTAATTGCATTACTGGCAGCAGCTGATGCACTTTCTCGTTTGGATGGTCTTGGTGGCCTTAGTAAACAGGTGCGTACAAAATAATCAATGGAGCTTTCAGGTTTCAGTTTTTGGACTGTTCATAACTAATGGGTTCTTAGACTCTATTAGTAATAGGAACTAGGAAGCGGCTCAATAAGGCTCTAATGTTCTGGCTGTGTAGGCCAATTCCTGCTTCAGGATAGGGAGTAACTTGTATACAACAAATTAGAGGGAAGTTAGTTAGAAGAGAGAGTAATTATATTTAAGATATGTTTATATAGGGAATTTCAGAGGGAAAAAGGGTTATGGGAATTCCATATCAGTTGTTCAGCTTATAGGTGGGGCCCAAAGGTGTTCACCAAGGCTTTGTTTGGGAGTTTGGAGGGGGAGGGGAAGGGAGGGCTTTGAAAAACGATTTTTTAAAAAAATTATAGAGAAATCTTTTTAACATTTTTTTTTTCAAAAATATTTTGTTTAGAACAATAAAAGAGTGCTTATCATTAACATATTTTTAATTTTTTGAATACTATAACAACATAAATTATATTTTAACAATTTTTCTAAGCCCTCTAAACCACTCCTCCAATTCAATTTTTTAGTTCTCTCAAAATTAGGGGGATTATGTGTTATAACTAAAAACAAAACCCTCCCGATCAAAATTCTTCTATTCTTTTCGCTCTATCCTTCCCTTTTTTCAAAGCCCTCCCATCCCTTCCAAACCCCCAAACAAAACCTAAGGCGGGGAGAATCTGCTTTTACATTTTCTAAATTGTTCCAGTTTTCACTCTGGCCAAAGGTGTTTGGTGGAAACTGTTCCTATGAAATACCAACAGGTACTCACTCATGTTACAGTTTCTATTAGATGGTGTGTCATGCTTTCAAACAACAGTTAGCTGTTCCCTTGGATTAATTGATACAAGTTTCCCTTACTCAGTATATTTGCTTATACAATAATTATCAGGGTTGCTTTTTAAAACCTTTGTGTAGGATGCATTTGGATAAGCTTTGAAATTAAAGAAGACAGGAAAAACTTATGATATATGATAGAGATATGTATATGATATAGTGTTATCAGTTAGCAGTGGTTAAGTTCTGAGCCATTCAGTTAGGCTGAGCTGGCATAGTTTGTTATAGTTTGTTATGCTGAGCTGGCATAGTTTGTTATAGTTTGTTATGCTGTATGCACTATATAAGTGACTCTCTTGTATTTCATTCATTAAAGAAATAAAATATGAAATTCCTAACTACCCTTTCTAACAGATTCTGAGATTCTATCAATATATGCATCTAACTTTATTCAAAAGCTACTTTTCCTAGCTTTTTAGAGGAGCACTAAAATTTTTGGCTTCAGGAAAATGTTATTTTAAAGAATGAATAAACGGGCTTATAATACTCAAGAACCAAGTAGTTTACCGACATGTTTCTGCTTCTCTGAACTTTATTGCTGATAGTTTCATGAACTCAATGCAGCTTGTTTTTGTAGTTTTCACTGGAGAGGCATGGGGTTATCTTGGAAGCAGAAGATTTTTAGTAGAACTTGACGAGCACTCGGATGCTGTTCATGGCCTTAATCACTCATTAATTGAAAAGGTACTCTGTATACTCCTAGTAAATATGACCACCGTTTGGTTTGTAGGGTGACCTAATGCACATTGTTTAAATTTATGACTACTCTAGAATTACTTTATTTGCTAACAGCCTAACTTATACTTTTGTGGTGGGGTGTTTCACAGATCTTTGAAATTGGTTCTGTTGGAAAGGGTTTCAATCAAGGTGCTAAAAACTACTTTGCTCATGTAGAAGGGGTGAGATGATTGATCTGATAAATATGTGCACACACCAATGCCCTTTTGTAATTTTAATTGGATATAATGTATTTTGTTATATAATTTGTATCTGCACACTGTGCACCATTAGAATTAGAGTATTGTGCCAATCCTGCTTTTGTCTTACACAACACCGTTGCAGGATTCTTCTTCCACAAATCAGATAATGGCTTCCCTGAAACATGCTCAAGAGTCGCTACTCTCTGAAGATATAAATATCGCATCTGCAAGTGCCTCAAATCCTGGGATACCTCCATCATCTTTAATGACCTTTTTGAATAAGGTTCTGGATAATGCACTTTTCACCCCATCCCCCTTAATGATATTACTATGAAAGGAGCTGGTTATGGATCACAACACTGCTTAGTTTACTTGAATATACACAATTTAAAAGTAATAGTGGTTTCTTAAAAAACGTCTTAAATATCAGACTTCATAAAGTTCAATAGTGAAGTCCTTATTGAAGGGAAGGTTGTGTGGTGATTTGATACTTTCCATATATTTTCTCTGGCTTAGTTCATTATATTAAAGATCATTGTCATCTAGAGTCAGATTTTTTTTCTCTTTCAATCTCTACATAAGCTGCACAACAGGTGCATTTGACCGAATTATTAATGTGCCACGTTGAATCATATTATTTGTATTGACTGGAGTGTTGTCGATGGTGAAGAGCCAAAATCCCGCCATACCAGCCGCTTTGCAGCACCATTATAACAGATTACGGTGGAAAAGCACGCAATATCGTCCAATATTTACCATTGCGGCAATCCCAAAAACCGCAATGTATATCCGCCATAGCGGCTATTTGATAACACTGATTGACTGATATGCCAATATTAGAGTGTTGGAGTAGCATCTATAGTAGAAAAGATGGTGGAAAATAGACTTAGGTGGTTTGGGTATGTTGAGAGAAGACCTGTAGGTTATGTTGTAAGGAGAGTAGATCAGATGGAGAAGAATCAAATAACTAGAGGTAGATGAATACCTAGAAAAACTATAAGATAATCAATTAAGAAAAATCTCGAGATTAATGAATTCGATACAAACATGGTATTAGATAGAAAATTATGGCGGAATTTTATCCATGTAGCCGACCCCACTTATTGGGATAATGCTTTATTGTTTACTGGTATTGGCATATATTGAATTCAGTTGTTTTCCGTTGTTCATTATTTTTCTTTTCTTTTTCCTTCATTTTATCAGAACCCAAAAATCTCTGGTGTCGTGTTAGAAGATTTTGACTCTTCCTTTGTCAACAAGTTCTACCGTAGTCATCTTGATGATTTATGTGAGTTAACCTGTGGGCATGACATTATTTTTTGCTTGATTAACTTATTCTAGTCATTCATGGTTATCTCCCATGTCCCACGCCTTCTCATTTGTATCATCTATATGATTAATGCAGCAAATGTGAACTCATCAGCTGTAGTTGCTGCTGCTTCTCTTGTTGCTCGAACCCTGTACATACTGGCTAGTGAAACTGATGATGTTCAAAATTCAACTTTGGCTGCTATAAATGTAAATGTCTCACTTGTTGAACAACTGATGGATTGCTTGTTGGATTGTGATCCTGGTCTTTCTTGTGAGTTGGTGAAGAAATATATTTCGCCCGCTTCAACCTGCGCGAGCAATTATGTTGGTGTTATCTTAGATGAACCTTCATCCACACCTTATCCAGGATACATTAATGACGTTCCTAGGTTCATCTGGAATTTTCTAGCCGACACAACTTCAATTCCAAAGGGGAATAATAGCTCAGACTGTCAACATGGTTGCAGTGGTAGCGATGAAGTTTGCATTAAAGCAGAGACTGATGGAAAGGGTGTCTGCGCTCTCTCTACAACTAGGTATTTTCTTGTCTAAATGTACTTTATAGATTTAATAAAAAGAATATATGTTTCTTGGTTCTGAGTTTAGGATATATATTGCTGGTATTCTGTAGTTTCTTATTGGTATTCTTTTCCAGGATTGCCATGCTTTCTATCATTTAATGTCGTGCTTCCGCCCCTCATATTGAATCCAGTTTTTTTTAGTGATTAATTGATTGCAGAATTAGATAGGTAATGTATTCATTTTATCATGGGAACACGACTGAACCATGTATGGAACGTAAAAACCAAGTATGTCCCGACCTTGACTCCAACTTTCGTTAAAATGAAACTTGGACGTAACCCCAATTCCCCCTGTCTGTTCACTACTTCTGCCTGCCATTATTCCCATTATGTACTATCCATGGTTGTTTTCAGCTTATAATAATGTCTGAATATTTTTTGCCTTTTAAATTGACTATTTTATATTTTACAAAGCTGATAAAAGCTGTCAATGGTTGTATAAAATCTGATATTTGCTAATTTCAAATATTTATGTTGGATTGATTTTCTTCACATACACACTCGCAGGTTCTGACATTCACGTGCCTTTCTATGTTTTTCTATTTAGATTAACCCAGTAGTTTTTCTATTAAACTCGTATTTACTTCACTTGGTTACATTTTAGATCAACCCAATATTTTTTCTATTAAACTCAAGAGGTTGTGTCCTTCTCGACGTCTAAGATTTATGTCATAAGCACCTTTGTTAAGTTCCTTTGTTAAATTTGCTCATGTGATGTACGTAGTTGGGGTAGGCTGCATAATTTTCATGTTTAGACTATTCACGTATTGTATGCCAGCTAGCTTCAGTTTTCCAGGTACAACACTTCTTGTTTGGTTGACATGATTAAATGGATAAGTTGACTGTAATTTTACCTCAATATATAATCTTCTACAGGTATGTTCCAGCATATTCGACACGATTAAAATTTGAATCAGGAGTATGGAGTATTTTGCCCCCCAATGGCTCAGATAACATGGGCGTCGTAGACCCAGTCTGGACAGAGAGCAACTGGAATTCATTAGGCATTCGGGTCTACACAGTTCAAACTGCTGCTTACGATTGGGTTGTTCTGTTTGGGGGAATTGCTCTTACAATCTTGGCATACCTTGCAATAGCAGTTACAAGAACTATGGTTGCCAAAGCAACAAAGAGGGATTGACACTATTATTTATGTTAATTAACTACTAAATTTTGTGAAACTAGGGCAAAATTAAATAGCTTGGTAGGAAATTTATTAGTTTCTCAAGAATTTCTAAGGATGTGCATTATGTAGGCTACATTCTTGTGCATGTGAATTTATCTGCAACACTTTTTTAATCACTTGTAGGTAAGCGCTAGGAAATGTAATGAACACCGAAAGTAAAAAGTTGACGGTGCTGTGTATTTGATAGTCCAAGTTAGTGAGAAGTGGTGTACTCCCTTTTCCAAATTATAAGTATTGCGTATTTCACATCTATTAAAAAACTTAATTGATTGTGTATTGAAAAGATAAATTATATACTACTTCCGTACTTATATATAAGTGACAATTTAATTTTTAGATTTATGGAATAATTAATATATTTGATCAATTTATAAATTAAATATATTAATTATTTAATAAATTTAAAAAAATGAGTTGTCTTTTATATAAAATAAAGGAGGTAGTATAATTTACAATAATGCTTTTCATTAATTATAAAACAAAGAAATTAAAATAACAAATAATAAACCCTAAGTGGTATATTAAGAAAAAATTATTAATGTTATGCCAGAATTATAGAGTGATGCATTGACATATTTGAGAATATATAGGGGTCATTAAGAAATTAAGAAACTGGCAATTATTATTTGACAAGTTTCACTGTTATAGATGACCTTAAGATTTTAATATGTTGTTTGGCATTTACAGTGATATAGCGGTGGTGGGTTTAACATTTTAAGGATTGGATAGGAAGAAATGGTGCTCCTCCTCAAAGAGTTTAAGTGTTTAAGGATTGGATAGGAAGAAAGGGTGCTCCTCCTCAAATAAATTTTGGGAATTGCTTTAGACACTATAAACATTGGTTTTCCATCTTTAGCAGAGAAAGGGTGCTCCTCCTCAAATAAATTTTGGGAATTGCTTAAGACACTGTAAACACTGGTTTTCCATCTTTAGAAGAAAACTAAAGGAGTTTTTGGATAAAACATTTTAATAAAGAAAATTAATTTTAAAAGAATTTAAAATAATTTGATCAAAATCTATTATTTGGATAAAAAATATAAAGAATTATTAAATTGATGTAATTTATGAAGTATTTTATTCAAGGTAAATTTAAGGAATTTCAAATGACACTAAAAAGTAAAAGATTTGAAATTGATCAATCACTATGTATAATGCAAATATAATACAAATGTTAATTTGTTTTTCAAATTTTATAAGATGGTCCTCATATTTTATAAAAATTTTAAATTCACCCATAATTTTTTTTAAAAAAATATAAATAAGTCTCTAATGATTTTTAAATTTTAAATAATTTTTAAAAAATTTTAAAATTGCAAATTGATCCTTATATTTTATATTTTAAATTTGGCTCAAAATTTTTAAATTTTATGAAAATGACCCTAAAAATCTAACAATGAATCATTTTAATATTCCATCTAAACAAAAGAATTTAAAAGTAAATGAATTTCAATTGAATCATTTAAATTGTTTGGAATTTTGAATTTCTTAAAAATTCTTAATTACCTCATCTAAACACACTCTAAAATTATTTCTAGAATTCAAAAATGTATTTATGCACACACTTCAATCACCTACAATTTAGTAGTTTTTAGCCATGTCCAAATTCTATGACTAGATTTAATTTGGAAATTCGTATGTCTTATGGAAGTACATTTCTGAAACTTACTAAACCATAAACAAATGTTGAAACAAAATAAGCAAAGTATAAGTCATATGAAGGTGTTTGGTTCTCTTTGTTATAAACATGTCTTAGATGCTACCAGAAGGAACTTGGATGACAGAAGCAAAGTAATGTTACTGATTGGGTACCACACTGCATGTGCTTATAAGCTTTATAGTCCAGTCACTAACAAAGTTGAATTTAACAGAGATGTCATTGTGAAAGAAACAAAAACATGAGATTAGAACAAGTCACAATCCAACTCTGGTTCTGTGTTAACACTAGAGTTAACTTCTAAAGACAGTTCAGAGTTTGAAGTAGAATTTGCTTCTAAAGGGGACTCTGCCTCTAAAGATGAGTTAGAGTCTGAAGGTGGATCTGATACTAAAGATGAGTATAAAGGCGAGTCTGAATCTGAAGGTGGATGTGATTCTGATCCAGCCTTTGGTGGCAATCATGCCTCTAAAGGTAGTCCAACATCTGATATTGTTCCAGCATCTGAATAAGATTCTGAACAAGTTCAAAAGCCACAAAGAATCAGAAAAATACCAAGTAGATTTGCAGAGTTTGACATATTGCAATATACTGAGATAAACTCTGAAGAGGAAGTCATTCAGTGTGCCATGTTGGTAGACTCTAAATCAGTTAGTACTAAAGAAGCTCTCAAGAAGAAAGTGTGGTTGAAGTCCATAGAAGAACTTAAGGCTATATAAAAAACCAGACTTGGGAGTTGATAGAGCTTCCAAAGAACAAGAAAGTCATAAGTGTGCGATGCGTTTACAAGTTGAAACTCAAGCTAGATAAATCAATTGGAAAACATAAAACAAGGTTAGTAGTAAGAGGTTTTCTATAGAAATCTGGATTAGATTACTTTGATGTGTTTGCACCTGTAGCTAGACATGAAACAACCAATTAGTGATTGCTATAGCTGCTAATAAAAATTGGTCTCTGATGCATTTAGATGTGAAATATGCATTTCTGAATGGTTCTTTACAAGAGGAAGTTTATGTGTCACAACCTCTTGTATTTGTGAAAAAGAATCAGGAAGGGATGGTGTACAAGTTGCATAAAGCCTTGTATGAACTGAAACAAGCTCCTAGAGCTTGGAATTTAAAAATTAGTTCATTTTTCAAGCTTCAAGGATTCAAAAAATGTGAGATGGAATATGGTGTTTACATTTAGCATACATCTGATAGCAATATGATTATGTCGTGTCTTTATGTTGATGACATATTGCTAACAATAAGTTGTTCAGATGAAATAGTCAAGTTCAAGAAGGTGCTGATGAATGAGTTTGAGATGACTGATATAGGAAATATGATATATTTTTTAGAGATGAAAATTTTGTACTCTAATAAGGGTATGATTTTACATCAGCTGAAGTATGAACTTGAGCTTTTGAAGAGATTTAAGCTAATAAATTGCAAGTATGCAATCATACCTTTTAAAACAAATCATAAGCTGAATTCTGATGTTAAGGGTGATGAAGTAGATGCTACAACTTTTAAACAGTTTATGGGCTCATTGAGATATCTCTGCAATACAAGACCTGACATATGCTATGCAGTTGAAATGATGAGTAAATTTATGAACAAACCAAAGCGGTCACATTATCAAGCTGTTGTCAAGATACTAAGGTATATTAAGGGGACTCTGAGGTATGATGTTTTGTTCCCCTCTGATGCTAAATCTGGTTCAGAGCTAATATTCTCTTCAGACTCTGATTGGTGTAAAGACAGGGTTGATAGAAGAAGTACTTATGGATATTTCTTCAAGTATATAGGAGGTCTTATTTCTTGGTACTTTAAGAAGTAATCAATGGTTGCATTGTCAATCTGTGAAGCTGAGCATATTGTAGGTGCTTTGTCTGTGTGTAAAACTTTTTGAATTATGAATTTACTGCAGGATCTGAAGATAAAGGTGAGCAAACCTGTGAAGTTGATGATTGACACAAATAATCTATAAGCGTTGTCTAGAACCCACTACTACATGGAAGAAGTAAGCACATTGACACAAAGTTTCATTTTCTGCACAATCAAATTCAAAATGGAGTGCTTGAAGTTGTTCTCTATAGTAGTCAGGAGCAACTTGAATATATGTTAACCAAAGCAATCAAGGCGGACACTTTATCAATTTGAGGGATGGAATTGATGTTGTTGATTTTAATTAGGTGAATATAAGTTAAGGAATGATGTTAGTTGTAATTCATTTCATTTGCATTTGAAGTCAGAATTTAAAATTCATTTAGAGACTTTGATAGTTTAAATACTGAAAGTACGGAAAATAAAGTATGTAGACATGATATATGAATGAACAATATAAAGGAGGTTCAACCTTCCAATGAATGATATGATATGAAAAAAAATCTAAAATGTATAAGACTAGCAAGTAAATGAAAATTAAAAAGAAAGAGAGAGAGAGAGAGAGAGAGAGAGAGAGAGAGAGAGAGAGAGAGAGAGAGAGAGAGAGAGAGAGAGAGAGAGAGAGAGAGAGAGAGAGAGAGAGAGAGAGAGAGAGAGAGAGAGAGAGTATAAAAATAGATATTTCAAAGAAATAAAATTTCTTACTTTAAAATCTTGATTACAAACTTAAGAAAATAGATGATGAAAGTTGCAAAAGGATTATTGAGTGTGAGGAACTTAAATTCTAACAAGGAAGAGAATTTTGGGTGATGGGTTTTGTTTTTCTAAAAACTTGTAGTGAAATATGAGAAAGAAATGTCTACTTATAGGAAAAGCATAATTTCCAAGTAAACTAAATACAATAAATATTTGAAATCCACAAGCTAAAATGAAAAACTTCTTAGAGTCCGTCTTGATTGGTATGATTTTTTGAGTAGAAGACAATTGAGTGGGGACATGGGTCCTAGTTGCCATAATATCTTTGTAAGTGTTGCATTTTTATTTCATGATAAATGAGAACCTTTGAAGGAAAGGTAACTTTCTGGGAAGATGAGACCCAATAGATAAATTTGTGATAATATTATAGTAACTTATGAATGTTGATTTCTTGAGTGATACAGGTTTGGTTACTCGTTTCACCGGGAAACTTCTTAAGCTAAACCGAATTGAAAAAACTGATTTTTTTTCTTTGAATTATTTTTTCTTTTCTTTTTATTTTTATTTATGAATTCTTTTCTTTCTTTTCTTTTTTCTTTTTTGAATCTACCAAAGGTAGTCAGAAGTCAAATGGATCCTGAGCACAGTCTCCCCCGAAGGTGTCAAAAGCGAATTCATCATAAGTGATTTCATCATTATATGATTCCTTCTTATGCTTAAGGAATTACAAATAACTC